GCTCGGCCGAGCCTCTCCTGCTCTGGCCGGGAGGAGAGGGAGAAGGCGGTAGTTTTCGTCTCCAACTGAAACTAGAGGGGAGGGACGTAGGGACTTAGGTGGAAAGGAGTCCTCCTGAGCATCTGCTCGGTTTTAGGCAAATCATTAAATCCTCCACCTCGCTGTCACTTAAATGATGAAAATCTCCTCGCCGAGTCCGTCTGACTCAGAGAGTGACGGAGACATCTGCCGGCGGAGCTCTAGTCTGTCCGCGGCCGGGATGGAGGGGAGCCCTGAGCCTCTGAGGGGACAGGTGCGCCCACGCACCTCGCGGAGGAAGGGAGAAAGGAAGTCGTTCCGCCGGCCGCTGGGCTTTAACTGGGAACGCCCAGCAAAGGGCATGCCGAGCCCTGACTACCCGGACTCCCTGACCCAGTGTTAGGCTGGAAGCACATTAAGGAATGCAAGAGTGCCTGCCAATGCTCTTGACAGGGAGATTACCAGTCTCGATATCTAGTGTTACATCCATGGATACTCCTCATCAGTGCCTCTCTTTTCAAATTTCCCACAAAAGGCTCAAATAAAAAATATCATATTAACTGTAATTGCCAACTACCAAAAATGTCGCCCGTGGCATTCCAACAAAGCACTGTTTAGAAGTACTCTGTTTTCATATCATTCTCGATACAGAAAATGCCTGCCTTTACCTGTCTCGTGTTGCTGTAACAAAACACCTGGCACTAGATAATAGGTAGAGAAAAGAGGTTCCTTTAGCACATAGTTTTGCAGACTAGCAGTCCAAGAGCAGGTGTCTCCCATTATCCTGGCCTGTGATGAAAACCTCCCGGGCATGGCCGCGTCAGAACCTGGAGGATGACGTGGGAAAGAGAGAGGGGGCACCAGCAGAACAGCAAGCAGCAGACCAGGGAGGACTCACACTACGTCTTACATTACACCGCACTCTTCTAGGAGCTCATCTAGTCCCATGAAACTGGAGGAGGGGTGACGGTGGAGGTACCGGGGACTGAACCTAGGGCTTTCACCAGCGCCTTTTTATCTATATTTTGAGACAGGGTCTTGCGAAGTCACTATGTTGCCCTGACTGGGGCCCAACTTGTTACCCTCCTGCTTTAGCCTCACAGAGTGTTAGGATTACAGGCTTGTGCCACCACATCTTGCTAAAACCAGACCGGCTCTGAAGAGACAGAGTTAGCCCACCCATGAGGGTGCAGGTCCCACCTCTCAAGCTTTTCATTGCCTCAAGACCTCACTGAGGACCAAGATTCCAGTGCATGAACCTCTGCGGGACAAGCCATATGCAGCCATAGCAACAGCTCAGCATTGCGATGTAAAGTCCCGCGGAGCAAATCGCTTCCCGCCTTGGTCACTGTAGTATCTTGACCACCTAGAACACTGCTGGCACATAACAGGCTCTCACTAAATAGTTACTGAATTAAGGAATGAGTCAGAATGTCATGATGCTGAAGCTAATTATTCAAAAATCCATTTCCTTACCGGAGAAGACTGCCTGATATGCCTGTAGTGAGGATCCTTAGAATCCTTAGCAACCAGTTTTCCGAACTACAGGGCATGGTCTCCAAGTGAGTTTCATATCTATGCAAAGCGTGGTTATTAGATTTATATTTACTTACAAGCAGATTTCATGTTCATATCCAACTGTTTGTTCAAACTCTGCTGTGCAGGGTGCCCCCCTGTGTTGAGGAAAGGTCAGTCCAACGTAATGCTCTATTACAGTATATGAGCAGTGGCTACAGAAGGGACTGGTTTAATTTACCAAGGTATACACTATGATTTCCCATTTATTTAATTATCTAAACACTGAATGTAATTTCCTCATGGAAGCTTTTAGAAAATCCACCTAACTTATCAACATTTCTTTAAAATCAAATTTTAAAAAGAGGATGTACTTTTCCTAGTAGGTCCTTCTGTAAGTAACTGACAAGGGCATAATGATAGAAAGGAAAGCTGGCTTCTGCTCCAGTGCTGTTTTAAAGTGCATGTGACCTCCATACGTTTGGTCTCCTGGGACACAGGGTTTATCTCAGCCTCAGGCTGTGCTGAGTCTGGACTGGAGCAGCACCTGAGCCATCGCCTCTCGGAGGGGAGCGCCCAGTCCAAGTCTAACGGAGAGGAGCAGACTGGGAAAGCTCTGGAAACTCTAGCATCCCCTTCCAGCCAGCACTGCCCACAGCGGGGAGGGGAGGGGTGTGAGTAGATGGGCCCAAAGCCGCATGAGCCAATGAAAATACAATGGGAGCCACACACGTGACCCATGTAATTAAATGTAATTAAATTTCAGTAGCATATTCAAAAAGTTCAGAGAGCTAGGTCTGGTGGCACAAGCTAATAATCACAGCACTCTGGGAGGCTGAGGCAGAAGGATCACAAATTCAACCCCAGCCTGAGAAACGTAGTGAGACCCTGCTCCAAAATTTAAAAAAAAATAAAGAGCTGAGGATATATCTCAGTACAAAGACCTTAAGTTTAATTCCTAATACTGCCAAAAGATTAAATTAAGTTAAATTACACTGAATTAAGTTTAAAATTTACAATTTAAAAAATAAAAGTAATTTCAATAAGACATATCATTTTGCCCAATATATCCAAATGATTATCATTTCAATAAGCTAATAATATAAACATTATTAATGATCTATTTTACATTCTAGTCTATTTTTTTCTGGATCTGGTGTGTATTTTGTGGCTTCCTTCACATGAGCCATATTTCAAGAGCTCAATAGCCAGCTTGGCCAGAAACTACCTGGAAGCACACGGTCTGGAAGAAAGTACAGTGTGGCCCAGCGTGCTTCAGAAAATCTAGGTCCACTCCAGATGAGGCATCCACGTCCAAATGCTGTAGAAAACCTGGCCCATTTAATGGAGTGAAGGCATCTGAGGCGGTAGGGAATCTCATGTCTGAGTTTAAATCCGTCATTTAAGAGAATAATCAAGAAAAGTTTCTACAGAGAGCCAACACTTAACACACACACACACCTCTTAGAGTGCAGACTTGCAAAGAACCCACACAAGGCATGAAATCATTCAATGATGTTCATGGAGCCTCTACAATGTAGCAGGCTTTGGGGCTAGGACTGCGGCAAAAAGTCTCGCCGTCTGCTTACCTGGCCCTCATGTCCAAGCAGGTAGAGACACACACGAAAAAGCAAACAGACACATAAGATGACTACATACTGTGACAGGTGCTGTGAACGGACAAAGCCACTGTGAAGTGACAGAGTGCGACGTATGGGGAAAGGGAGCTTCCTCTCTACAGTGACGGGGAAG